TCTGTATCAATCAATGTTGCAATATGACATGTTTCATAATACTGAAGGGTTGTGTTTATTTCTCTTTAACTGGGAATAAAGGACATTACGGATGCTACATTGTCTATTACGGATGCTACACAACCTAGATCAGCTCAGGACTCTGAAAAGGAAAAAACACAGAATATTTAAATATGCTATTTTCTTGAGGGCGGGGTATTTGTTAAATCTAGAACAATAAAAATTAAAAATATTTCTCAGTTAACATGTAATTTAGTTTTTTCTACAGATTACGGATGCTACACTTTTTTGTCTCTTAGATATATTTAGACTTTAAATAATAATATTTCTGTTTATTTGAAAGATTTACATGTTTTCATATTTTATTTGCTTATAACTATCAAAAGGCTTTATTAAAACACAAAAATAAAGAAATAAAAATATATATTTTACCTGTTAGTTGATGAATCAAAAATGTTAGTGCTGAAAATTCAGAAAGTCGTAACGGAGGTAGGCTTATCTAAAAATGCTATAACTTTTCTGTTGTTCGATGTTATTTGTTGAAATAAATGGCAAAATAAAGGAAACTGAAAATACTAAAATAAACATATAACTTTTATATATAAGTTTATTCAGTTTTTTCTCAAAACTTATTCTAAAATAGCTTATTTTAAAATGTCCGTTCGTAACGCTGAAAAAAGAGAGAATTTGACTCTTATTAATGCCATATACAATTTAATATGGGTTCCCATAGTTCTAAATGTGTTTGATTATGTAGAGTATACCCCAATGTAACATATTATAACTCCAACACCAACATATACCTCTTATTTATTAATTTACAGACCTGTAACATCATTTTTCTCAAAAGTGCTATTTTATGTGAAAATTACCGAATTTTTTATTTTGACCTACTTTTGGGACACCATATCTCAAAAGTGGGTCAAAATACTTCCTGACGGCAAAAGGCTAACACTATTAGCACACTCTTGGCTACATGTATACACGATTTCGAAGAATATAATTAAAGTGTAGTGTCAGAATCGCAAAAATAAGGAAAAACTTTGAATTTGACCTAGATTTTGACCTTGGCATTTTTGTGTCCAAATTTTTAAGCTAGATGGCTTTTGAGGTCCCCTTCTTTTAAAAGCTTCCATTATATTTAGCTGAACTCAGTCTATATTTCGTATTTTTCACTTCAAAAAAATCTTTTTTCCCATTGACTTAACATGGGCACCAAATTTAGCGATTTTTGAGCTTTCAAAACGATATAACTTCCGAACCGGAAGTCGGATCGAAATTTGGTTTTCAGATTCGGAATCCTGAGAAAATGTCCTACAAGACCAGTAGCGTGGACATTGAATTAGGAGAACTTTTTTTTGGACCTCGTTTTCGGACACTGATATCTCGAAATCGGTTTGAGATATCAAAAAACTAAATCGACCTGTTTTCCCCTACTTTTTTATGAGGAACACAATGAAAAAAACCCGGATTGAAAATATTGAAGGACGACCGAGAAAATTGAAAAAAGTGACAAAGTACTGGATTTGACCTAGTTCTTGACCTTTGACCTAGATAAAAATTTGACCTAATTTCCCAGAAAGCCAGATACATTCCCTAGTTGATCATGTAAGCAGCTTAAAGTAAGCTCTTCTAGTTGGTGAGAAATCTGGGAAGGAGGAAGAATAATAATAATAATAATAATAATAATAAAGAAAACTGGCAAAAGCAATAGACTCCAGATTTTCATCTGGAGTCTAATAAAGAATAATATCTACAAAATTGATAGGAGGCCCCCCGATGGGGCCTCCTAATAAAACTAGAAAACGGCAACTCAATGGAGTAGCACAATCCAACGAACACTTTAACATATACTCCTCAAAAAAGTTAAGGACAAGTCTTTTTCCTCATAGGTTTACATGTTAAACCCAATGCATCTTTAAATTCTATTTTTCTAAGCTCGAAACGAAAGAAAACCTAATAATGTAAATGGATATGTACTGTACCTTGACTCTATTCTCTATATTTTAGGACATTTTCAATTTGATCTCTCTATTACAATAGGTCAAAAATTGATGTCAAAGTTGAGGAATAGTGGGTTAGGGGCAAATCAGATTTTTGGATATCTATTCGGTAAACATTTATTAAAAATAATTTCTGAGTAGACAATTGAATTGTTTTCCTTTCTGCATGTTTGGTGTTAAGCTTACTTTGTGAGAATTACAGATATAGAGCATCAACGTATTTTTGACAACTCATTTTTGACCCCTGTGTTATTTCAATGGGAGGTTTATTGAGAAATGATTTTGACTTTTGAGATTCATAACTTTGTAAAACCTGGAAAAACAAATCAATTTTTTGCTGTAGACAAGTTAGCAAATTCAATTGTATATTTAAATTCCATTTTAGAGAGCAATTGAATGGATGGATATTTTCTCATATGACTTTTGGCAACCCAACCACTTCCCATTGGTTTACATGGGTTCTGCCAGTTTTTTTAAATTCCTCAAATTTTTATTACTCAATTTTTGACATATTGTAACGGAGAGATTGAATTGAAAATTTTCTAAAATATAGAGAATAGAGTGAAGGTACATAGCCATTGACATTTTCAGTTTTTCTTTATTTTCAGGCTTTGAAAATAAGAGTTCAAACATACAGAGTTTAACATGTAAACCTATGAGGAAAAAGACTGGTCCTTAACTTTTTTTGAGGAGTATATATGAATCTGTATTTGTCACAATGTAATATTTACATCTACTCTTCCCTTGAAATATAATCGGTAGATATTGAAATACACACAATAGAGATATATCAGAATTTCAACCGATTTAAGCATTTTAATGAGCATTTAAGAGTTTCAAAGCCAAAAATAATAAAGACAATATATTTTAGATCTAACAAAGTATCATGTCAACATACTTCAAAGAAATTTTGAATTTTCTGAGGCACAAATCAGAAAAACAATACGATAATTGTGATCTACCCCATATTTCCTTCAATTTGAGTATAATAAGCCATATTTTAAAGAGATCAGAAAATTATTGCGAAATCCCACATAAGTTGGCCATTTTGAATTTTACGAGGCTCAAAACAGAAAAACGATACTATATTTGCATTCTACTCTAAATTCCATTTCATTTGAGTATATTAAAGCTATATACTTCAGAAAGATCACAATATTGACGCAAATTTCTGTTGGCAGCCATTCTGAATTTTCTGAGGCACAAATCAGAAAAACAATACCACATTTGTGATCTCCCCTAAATTTCCTTCAATATGAGTATAAAATAGCCATACTTTAAAAAGATCAGAAAAATTATTGCAAAATTCCAACATAAGGCGGCCATTTTGAATTTTACGTGTTCCAAATAAGAAAAACTATATATTATTTGTAATTTACTCTAAATTGGCTTTCATTTGAGTATAATAAAGCTATATAAAATATCTCAAAATTAACGCAAATTCCTGTTGGAATATATGATACGATAGATGCTGTGAAAATACTATTAAAATTTCAAACAATAATATTCATTTCTTTGGTTTAAAACTAACGATTTTCGCCAAATATTCAGGCCATTTCTAAAGCGATGGCCATCTTTCCACCAATTTTGAAGCAAATCCATCCACTAGTATTTGAGTAATCTTCCGGACGGACGGACGGACTGACGGACAGACGGGCTGACGGAATGAGGGCTTCACTATATTCCTACCGAACTTCGTTCGTTTGGGATAATAACAGGCATAAAATATGGCAATAGCACCCAGTTGAACGCAAAGGTTGATCATGAACACAAGCGGCTAAACATCAGCAGAATAAAACTGTCTATGATGAATAGATATGAAGCACGCTGTTCTTAGTCATGAAGTGTAAAATATCGGTTGTTTAGAAAAACTATGTCAACAAAGGTCAAATCGAGGTCAAATGACCTCCAATTGTTGATTTTTATAAAATTAATTTTTATAGTGCCAAAACTGTATATTACCTAGAGGATAATCGATTATCTTTCGAATATAACAAAAATCAAGGTAAATGCTTTTCTAGAACTTGACTTATGCACTTTCAAAGATAGCAGATATCGCGAACACCCACCGAAATCAATGGAACGCGTGATTAAATAATCAACAATTTCAAGTTCAGCTTATAAAATTACATTCATATTTGGGGATGTACTCAGTGATTTAGTAAGAAAATAGAAAAAGGTTTGACTTGGTAATATTCCAACATAATTTCGGTCCATGATTTTGCCTAGCAATCCATAGCAACGAATTGAATATAATTCAAATAAGTGAAATTGACAATTGGGAGCAAGGGAGATTCAATAAAAATTTGTAAAATTCGGTGTGGATTATCCCTGTAATTCTCATACCACAGTTTGCATAAACATTCAGTAACAAGCAACAAAGATTCCAAGGAATTCATCAAATTAGTTTTTGTGATGAGGCAGTTTTCGAATTGTCGATCGATTAACTGTATTTTACCTTATTATAGTTATTTAACAATTCATATGCTACAAAAAGTGGCTCGTTTTTCATGGAATAAAACATGTTTGAAAGTGAATTTATTTTCACCTTGCATTGTCTACAGCATTAGAAAAGAGTTAAATATCAATATTTTGCGATTTTTTATTGGCATCAACTTTGCCCCTATATCCCAATCACTTTGATTTTTATGCCAAAAAATTCGGATTATATCTGTGGCTCAAGATATAAAAAACAGATGCACAAAAAGCTTGGAAAAAGTAACATGGTTCGACACACGATCCAGAAGGAGACATCAGGTTACCAAATCTATTGAGGGGGTGTAGCCCAAGAGGATTAACATATGTTACACAAAATTAGACCTTTAAATCTCATAACAAAATGTTTGATTACATTTAAAAACATCAAAACCAGCTTTAAATGCTAAGATTCCGGTGTTATTTTTGCTTAAATGTAAGACTCAAGAGCATGCCATGAGATTACCATACTACCTAGAAAATGAATGGGAAAAGTGAATTTGCAAATAATTAAAATCCCAAAGTAAACACATGTCGACATATTTGGACCAATTACATGGTTAGTAAGCAGCACTTGGCCCTAAATCATCGCATAGAGTTATTTTCAGCTATCCCTGAACAAGTATGTCATTTAAACACGTCCTTATGGAGTACGAGCAAAGATTTTGTTAAAGTGACTTCAGAATGGACTTTATTGAAAATGTCAAATACATATTTTGATAAAAATGGAACAGGGATCTATCTAAATGATGTTACAATTGTCGTAGAAAGCATAGAAATCGACCAGCAGGCGAACGTAACCAATGTGACGGTTGGGACCGATGATCCCCTTAAAGGCTACGGTGCAGGAATCTTTGCAACTGCTGTCATCGTCGTATATAGCCTATCAGTATTCATGTTCCTCGCTTCTTTCATAAAGCGCAAATCAAGACAGAACAACGATGAACGACAAGTACAAGTGTACCTCGACAATGTTGCGAACCTGAGACAGCAGGCAACAAGGGATAAGATCGCATCGTTGAAGAAGGAATTACGCCAGTCTACGTGGAAAAACATTGTGACAAAGCTGGAACTGATAAACGAATTTGAAGTGAAGGAGGGGTCGTCTTTTAAGAGAATACCAACACTGAACAAAAAGAGATCTGTCTCGTGGAAGGTCGTACTGGAACAATTAGATACATTGAGGGATAACACACAAATATTACACGCTCAGAACTCACGACGCCAGCGGCAGAGGCGTAAAGGAGTGTTTGACATGGATTTAGTCGAATGCCAAGACACGGAGGCTTTGGAATATTTAAATAGGGAAGACAAATGCACGACGAACATACCGATACCCGATTCAGTGACTACTTGTACTGAAACAGTTGATAAGTCTTTTGATAAAGAAATCGACAAACCCTGAAAGTTATAACACTTCTTGATTTCTTGACAACTTTTACATGATTTGTAACACATATGTTTTGTTTAGATTGGAGTAATTTTGACGAATATGAGTTATATTCATTATTATTATTAATGATTTTATTTCACTTGTTAAAAACAATATAAACAATTACATATAAAAGCATACCAATCGCCATGTGGCATTACAGGTTGCTTTGATTAAATTAAACATAGTTTTCATGTGGCTTTAGATATCACAAAACAGAAAGTAAGTAAAATATTGTAAATAAAATAGATAAATATTGGAAGTATTTATTTTATTTGGGTCCAGGAGGTTGAAAGATGCTATATGAGTCAACGTTATTAACTTTAAATTCTAGTTGGGTGTATATAAGTTATAACACGTTCCAACAAAGTCAGTTACTATGTCAAGGAGGGTATTTTGAGAATCTCGACAGAGGGTGTTTTCAAAAATAAGATATTCTAGTTGGTCATTTTGATTTGTACATGTATTTGTATCATAAAGTATGTTATTTTGTCTCAGTGCAGCGAAAATATCATTTCTTTCATTTATATGGCGTGGGCAAGAAATGAGGAAGTGTTTTGTACTTTCAGGGGATCCACAAGGACACTTATTATCATTAACTCCTGTAAAGTTGTGTGAGAAAAAGTGATCTCTTAACATAAAATCAACCCGTAGTCTGTTGATGATTTTTTCCTTATTCCTTGAAAGTTTGAGCTTGGTTGTTGGGATAAAATTAGGAAGTATTAATGAACGAACAGCATTTTTGAAACTAGATGGTTGGTAAATCTCTTACTAGTTGGCTTAGGTTGTTCCATTGCTTTATAAGGTTTAGGACTGGTGCATTGAGAAGTCTAGTTGTAACTTGATTGGGTATCTTAAATGGTAAAGAGTGTCTTGTTGTCCTAGTGGCGTTTTTTATATATATCAAAAATATCGCAAATGTATTTAGCTACCAAATTTATAAAATTTATTTTGAACATTATTCGAAGATTTTTTTTCTTTTCCTCTTTCTTTTCACTAGGGTGAATATAACTAAGGGTGAATATAACTAAGAGTTATATTCATTGTTCAATGAATTTCCCCCAAATTTACCATTTCACTGCTTCAAGTAGCAATATAACATTTTATAATATTAATAATAAAGTAATGTATGCATATATATGTTTTGATATGTCAATATAAAGATGGTAGATATTACATTGTGATATATATTATGAATTAAATAATATATACTGCGTTTTTTGAATTGCCCGCAGTGGTGGTGCATTGTGAAATAGAAAATTATTAGATTTACCCCCGGTATCAAGTAAAAGATAAGCCACAGCGTAATAAGCGGTTTAAGTGCGCTTATGAACTGCTTTTGTTGAAAACGTGTGACCATGTACATGTAATTTGCATCGTATGGACTCATTGTTCGTTTTCGTGATAGCTAGAGGGAATGCTTATTTATGATAGTTATGATAGTTGGAACTTGATGCCAATAGAAAAATACTTATACGATATCCGTGCATTTTTGCATATTCTTAATTGGATGTCTATCCAAACTGTTCTAATTAGAATTTTGATGATACCATTTTCCAATTTTTAGATATAATTTTTATTCTCCCCTACCCCAATTTTTTCAACAATTTTACTATTTTGATGTTTGTGCCGTTGGTAGGTGGTTGCTAGACAACATCACAGACCAAAATTATATTGGAACAATACCAAGTTATTCATACATCTGCATACTAAATCACTGATTGCCATTTGTTATCCCATCGAACGAAGTTCGGAGGGATGTAGGGAACGCCTCCGTCCGTAGCATTCCTTGGCGACAATTTTTTTGAATTTGAAAGCTTTAGTAGCTGTTCCCCAAATAAGAATACAATAATCATATGGCTATATCAGTCCGTCCGGGCGATAACTCAAATACCGTTGGCCCGATTTTGTTCATATTTTGTACACATACGCCCTAAGGGGGAAGTATTTCTGCTCGAAACCAAATTTTCAAAATGGCCGCCCGCTTTTTACGATTTTTGCTCCACAAGTAGTGGAGCGATTTTGTTCATATTTGATATTTTTACGTGTTATTTTACGCTTTTTACTATAACTCGAAAAGTGGTGGAGCGATTTTGTTCATATTTGATATGGGAATGCTCATACATACCACAATGTCAAATGCCACTTTGGGTAGTAGGCGGCCATTTTGAAAAATGGCTGCCATTTTCACGTTTTTTTTACTACAACGTAAAAGGAGTGGAGCGATTTTATTCATGTTTGATATCTGAATACTATCAGCATGTCACACTGTCTACGTGAGCGACGTGAGATTTTTGCTTTTCGATGGGATTTGCTACGCTTTGCCGTTGCTGTTGTCTAGTTGTATATCTTGAAATGTAAATGCTAAATACAAAAACAGAAAATTGAGAATATATCACAAAATGTCAAACATTAACACACTCTAGGTCACGTTGACCTTGATTTGACTTTTGTTCACCTACTTGGGTCTAACTTGAGTCTGTAGCTAAGTGGATGAGGTTCCCGAGAGACCAAGTGTATTTTGGGGACATCAGTCCTATTTGCCACACGAAACATGATTCAAGCTTCTTTTGAATGTTGAGAAATAAAATAACATTATTCGCTTGAATACGATGCTGCCAGTATTCTTCTTCTTTAAGATATATTTGCCTTTTGACAATGTTATTCAACAAGCTTTTTTGTATTCTTTAAACACTATTTGATCATACGAAGATATCGACGTATTTTAGAATGTCGTATTTAACGACGATTCTCTCGATCTTATGATATCGCTGATAAAACCAGAATGATAAACATAAATAGAGGATATTCTATGATTTATGAGTGATATGATTTTTATCCACGAATGCATATGATATCTGCACGAGTGAGCGTAGCGAGAGAGTGCAGATATCAATATCCATCGAGATGATTAAAATAATATCACGAGTAAATCATAGGGTGTTCTTTTTATTCCATAGTTAAAGTCATCATCAGAATCGTCGGGAATTAAGTGATTTAAAACAAATTTTCCAAACGATACGGCGATATTGACACTTAGCCTCGTTTTGAGTCTGAAGTAGCAAAAATCCATAATTCATAGCATACGGCGCCGTATGTCATGGCTAAAACACCGTATGCTATATCATATTTTACCACTGATTACAAAAATACCGTTCTTATTTTGATATGTTATCCTATGGATATCATGCTAACTATGGAATAATCTAGTATATATGAGGCTAACCTGAATGGTCGTAGCCAGGGAGAGGGGTGCGATCTCCGACCCCCTGAGAAAAGATTTTTTAATGCAATTTATAATGAATCGGATCCTTCGTCGCAAGAACTACATCAGAGGAGACTGGCCTTTTGTCTCAAATTGTGCAGTGTTGATATATCGAGATTTCACAAGCAAAATCCTCTTGCGTAGTTTTCAGCAGTATACCGTTAAAAGGCCCACATGGCGTATTTTCAACGTTTTTGGGCAAAATAAAGACTTACATTTGAATTTCATAGTATGTCCAATGTATTGATAAGAACCTGATCTTTCATTTGACACCAACAACAGCAACAGCTCAAATAGACACATCAAAGCTTACAATAAATTATCAAAATATATATTCGATCTGTCAAGCTTAATGTATCAAGTTTTTATCAATGTCATTGAAAGATGGCGAAGTTGTTTGTATTACATAATACATTCATTTTTATAGAAGTGTCGCCACCTTTTAAATCAAAAGTAATTTAAAACATGCACTTTGTTTAACATGTGCATGTACTACTAATGATCTCTGAACTTCAAATGCTTTTTTCTCTGTGAATTTCTTGGTTCAATATTAAAGCAAATCAAACTTTGTGTGAGTAGCATGTTTCAATGGTTATTTTTTTCATTTTTCTACTAAATTAAGTTTAATGGGCATTTAATCATAAATGCTACAATACTTGTATGTGGAACTACAGTATCTACAGTGCGTATAAAAAAACGCAACATATTGTTATCTCGGAAAAGCACAAAACCAGTGATAACAGCATTGATTTCATTCACTGCACCATAAAGCCATGTGTCTCCTCTTTACAATTATATATCATTCATTGGTATTTGGTCATGGTTGGGCGAGTAATCATTCCATTTGCAAAGTGGGCCAAAATTAGTTTGGGACAAAGTTAAAAACATCGCAAAAGTCAGTGTTCGGAGCCCGATGCAATATTGGAAGAAAACATATGCTGACCGCATCCTTTTCATTCAATGTACCAAAAAGCCCAATTACTCCACTTTGCATTGGAATATCATTCATTCACAGGGAGTCATCTCTGGCCGAATAATCATTAATTTTGCAAAGTGGGGCAAAATTCAGCTCGGACCCAAGTTTCAAACATTCCAAAATCAGTACAAGGGGCATAGGGGCTATTGGAAGAAGGTGTGACAGGTGTGGCATAGACAGTAACGTGTTCATACTCATACTCTTGCAATGCGCTCATCTGTCCATGTCATGCATAGTTCAGCCCTGAGTCATCTGTGGGTTAAACCAGAGAAAAGCAGCCCATGGGCAATTCTTTCTCGAGGTTTTGCAATATCTGGTGGAGGAATTGTGAGCACAGATGCTCCTGAGATAGCTCCAAAAGAAAAAATCACAACAATTCAAGTCAGGGGAACTTCCATTGGCACATAGCCATTGCACTGATTTTTTCAATATCTAAAACTTGGTCCAGAGCTGATTTTGACCCACTGTGCAAATGGAAGGATTTCTCACCCAACCATTACCACATGTGAAAGAATGACATATCATTGCAAAGAGGAGAGACGTGGCTTTATGGTATATTGAATGAAATTGATGTAGTTTTGTGATTTTACGAGATAACTACTTGTTGCGTTTTTTTGATACGCCCTGTATATCTTATTGCTCTTATTCAAAACCGCAATGGATTGGTCAAGCTTTTGCAAGGAGTTCGTCAAGCTATACATTAGCTTTTCAATATAAAGTTGCTGTAGAAAAGTTCAGGAAACTATTTTGTCTCTTCATTTTTGAACATTTGCAAACCCCATCCGCCAGTATTTTTACTTCTGTACCGTTGTACTGCATACATGATCACAATCCCCAGAAGTAATCCCAGAACCATCATTCCAATACTAAGACCAGCAACCGTACCTGCAAACACAAAACTTGATTTGACCTCATGTTTGGGTAAATTGGTCTTAATCCATCATTCCAATACTAAGACCAGCAACAGTACCTGCAAACACAAAACTTAATTTGATTTCATGTTAGGGTAAATTGGTCTTAATCCATCATTCCAATACTAAGACCAGCAACAGTACCTGCAAACACAAAACTTAATTTGATTTCATGTTAGGGTAAATTGGTCTTAATCCATCATTCCAATACTAAGACCAGCAACAGTACCTGCAAACACAAAACTTAATTTGATTTCATGTTAGGGTAAATTGGTCTTAATCCATCATTCCAATACTAAGACCAGCAACAGTACCTGCAAACACAAAACTTAATTTGATTTCATGTTAGGGTAAATTGGTCTTAATCCATCATTCCAATACTAAGACCAGCAACAGTACCTGCAAACACAAAACTTAATTTGATTTCATGTTAGGGTAAATTGGTCTTAATCCATCATTCCAATACTAAGACCAGCAACAGTACCTGCAAACACAAAACTTAATTTGATTTCATGTTAGGGTAAATTGGTCTTAATCCATCATTCCAATACTACGACCAGCAACCGTACCTACAAACACAAAACTTAATTTGATTTCATGTTAGGGTAAATTGGTCTTAATCCATCATTCCAATACTAAGACCAGCAACTGTACCTGCAAACACAAAACTTGATTTGATTTCATGTTAGGGTAAATTGGTCTTAATCCATCATTCCAATACTAAGACCAGCAACAGTACCTGCAAACACAAAACTTAATTTGATTTCATGTTAGGGTAAATTGGTCTTAATCCATCATTCCAATACTAAGACCAGCAACAGTACCTGCAAACACAAAACTTAATTTGATTTCATGTTAGGGTAAATTGGTCTTAATCCATCATTCCAATACTAAGACCAGCAACAGTACCTGCAAACACAAAACTTAATTTGATTTCATGTTAGGGTAAATTGGTCTTAATCCATCATTCCAATACTACGACCAGCAACCGTACCTACAAACACAAAACTTAATTCGATTTCATGTTAGGGTAAATTGGTCTTAATCCATCATTCCAATACTAAGACCAGCAACTGTACCTGCAAACATAAAACTTGATTTGATTTCATGTTAGGGTAAATTGGTCTTAATCCATCATTCCAATACTAAGACCAGCAACCGTACCTACAAACACAAAACTTAATTTGATTTCATGTTAGGGTAAATTGGTCTTAATCCATCATTCCAATACTAAGACCAGCAACAGTACCTGCAAACACAAAACTTAATTTGATTTCATGTTAGGGTAAATTGGTCTTAATCCATCATTCCAATACTAAGACCAGCAACTGTACCTGCAAACACAAAACTTAATTTGATTTCATGTTAGGGTAAATTGGTCTTAATCCATCATTCCAATACTAAGACAAGCAACCTTCCCTTCAAACACAAAATTGATTTGATCTCGTGTTAGGGTAAATTGATTTTAGTCAATCATTCCAATACTAAGACCAGCAACCGTACCAGCCTTGTCCAAGTCGGGTCTTTTTTACTTATCTTGATTTCTATTATGACCGCCTTGTACCAATGAGAAAGCCACGTGCTTTACCGACCCAATGTTAAAGTCGGTAAATTTGACCAATCAACGACGGCCTGCAGCTTTAGGTCATTATTATGCACAGTCAAAACAAATAGTTACACTTTTCACGAACAAATCGTGCACAATTGAATTAATTATGAAAATAAAAATATTTTACCAGATAAATAAGAATCAGAGATTTGTGGATGCGGGAGCATCGATCGGATCACCCAGAGGTGAGAAGATTTAAAAAAAACGAAATGATAAAACATGATAGCTACGATCTGAGATTCCGATCAATCACTGAATCAGATCGACGACTATATGGACTAGCAATTTCATCGCGAATTCAGTTTAAAATCAACATTAAATCGCATGATTTAATTTATTTTAATGCCTGCTTACATTCGAATGTACATCCAATTACAGAATGTATTGTACAGAAACTCTGAAGCAAGACTGGATCAGCTCATTGAAAATGTCAAGTCGCAGACCGGTAATTTACTTTATTATGCAGGTAACCTGATAACGTTTTGATTGGTCAATCAGCCTGAAGTCACACGTCGTGTCCACGCGATCTTGCCGAGATACCCCTAACAGCGTACGAATTATGGGAATCTCGAAACCGCTGAATAAATTATCATAATATCAGAGATGGTGCATTAGATTGTACAAGGCGGTAATAATTCAAGATCAGATCAGTAAAAAATACCGACTTGGCCAAGGCTACAACCGTACCTGCAATCACAAAACTTAATTTGCAAACTTAAAGCAAATTCGTCTTAACACTATAAAAAACTATAAAATCGAAATCGTATGCCCCCAAACAAAAGGGCAATTCTTATGTAAAACTTGATCTGTGATGTAAAGGTCAAAACTACAAATTCAATTATTTCCCACATATCTGATGAAAAATCTTCTGGCATTGGTTTCTGGTCTAGGAAACTCTTGGGTAAAAATGTTAAAAATCTGATTCCAAAAATCCACAACCAACAACTGGAAAAAGGGCGATAAAAATAACATTAAGAATTATAGACCTATTACTCTCCTTAGTATTGTATCTTAAATTTTGGAAAGAATAATTCACGAGCAAAGGATGGACCACCTACTTTAGCAGGACCTTACTCGCAATTAATCATTTAATTTCATCAAATTTTGAAAATGGGCTAGATACTCTCGGAATATTCCTTGACAGTCTGGCTGCTTTTGATCGTGTTCCGCACAACCTAATGGTCAGAAAACTAATTGGTGATGATGGGTGGATTATACAGCTTAAAGGAACTCAATGTGTATTATTGGCAAAATGAAGTTTTACCTTTGATCTTCACAATATTTCCAATGGATTGATAAGTACTCGATCTTTCATTTGACACCAAAAACACCTCATCAGAGAGAGAGACCACATCAGAGTTGACACGAGATTATCAAAAAATATATCCAATCTATCAATTATATTTGTCATGTTTTCAGCAATGCCAATGAAAGATGGCGAAGTTTTTGCATGACATTATCCCAAGGAGGATTGGCTCCCAGAGTGCAACATCGATATTCTGTCCCATATATGGGCATGTCGTGATACAAAATTTGAATTCAAACAGCCACCATTTTGTTCACTTCAGCATTTGAATCGTGAATTTTGGTCTTGTTTCCGAACGAAAAATTCCAAAACTCAGGAGAAATGATCGAGATATTGGTTCGAATCTTTTGGACTGTTTATTTTGAATTTATAGTTGGTTATAATTTCAGAAAATAACGACATTTCGACGATTTCATTGTTGGAAAATATCGAGTTTCGATCCTGGGAGCCAATCCTCCTTGACATTATCCATTATTTTTTGATAGACTTTTCAACCATACGCCATCTTTTGATCCAAGAGTTATTTAAAACATACACTTTGTGAAAAGTGGTAATTTTTTTTTTTCGATCTCTGAACTTCAAATGCTATTATCTTTGCGAGTGATTTTTTCACTTCAATATTATCCCAAATAAAAGATTTTATCATATTTGATTGACTGTGTGAGTAACATGTCTCAAATAATACTTTATCATTTGTTTCAAAAATAGGCATATTGCCTGTTTAAGATATAATCCGTTCGACTTAACTTTCATTCTATTGCCCCTTATTGAAGATGACATATTGGCCAAACAATAATAATTATTAGAACTTAAGTAAGAGCTGTCTAAAAAAGCTTGCAATAACGTTCATGCCCCTTTATCTATACGTCATTCTTTTCTTTGCATATCCACTACTTAATTACTTGTAGTTTAGATTGGGCATTTAGTAAAATTTACTTTAACTAACCTGGGTTGTAGAATTTGGGCAATGTCCCACTTTGTGGTGCGGATTTCCCTAAAAAACAATAGGAGACACCATGTTACTCTACAATTATAAAATGTGATGAGAGAACAATAGCTCTTTATTAATGATTAAATGCACGTTGGTTAACCTGAATATCTTACTCTCATAAATAATGCACTCTGGATTGTCTGCTAAGTCACTGCTAACCAGATCCACAGGTGAATACATCCGAAAGTTACAAACACTGACTTTAGTTTCGTCCATGCAGTAATCAAATGACTTGCACACAAATTCTGTTTCCTCCAAACACGTTTTGGCGCAAGCTTCTTTGCTGACACCACCAATTGATAGTGTAACTCCACTGCGGATTGACTTATCCTGATATGGTTTAAACTGTCCAAGTAATGACCCTGAATGGAATATGATAAAATAATAGTTTAAAGATGTGATTAATTTTACTTTGTATATTGATATTTATCGAGCAATGGAATAATCGATGCGAGCGTTAATATCAGGATACGAACATCAATCCACCTCATATCATCATTATCATGATGTTCTTTTCCAGAATACCCAAGTATTTTGACTTTTGTCTTAGTATTCCGACTTAACAACATTTTATTCGAAAATGTTTGACATATGCTCTTGTATTCAAATACTAACCAGCAACTCCTTTGTTGATCGTTTGAACTATGGCAGAGTAATCGATTTTAATTCACAATACGAATAAAACTGCCACATTTATATCAATACTTACAATTTCTATCTAATATTTCCCAAATATGGCACTTACTGGACCAATGCGCACATGTGTTATTTATGGGTAACACAGTAGCTTCTTCATCAGTCATGTGCAGTCTACTTAACATGCAGATACCCGATGATATACAGAAGTCAAACGATTGGCACTTGAAATCAGTCTCATCTAAGCACACCTTTGCACAAGAGTCAACCGAGTGTTGGTGAATAATTTTATCATTCTTGAGCTGGATTACTTTTCCAGGAATGTTTGAGAAATGAGACTTGGAATAAGCTCCTGAAACAAACAAATGAAATGATTGCAAGTATGATTACAAGTTACTCGTAGGTAATCACCCCATGTACGTTTTAATGCTATTCCTAGTTGAACGCCAGTCGCACGAGGAAAACAGTTTTGCATATTCGAGATGTCATGCACGAAAAAACTTGGATGAAACCCATTTATAAACTGATGTCAGATCGTACCTACTCGTCTTTAAAGCAAGAACTGAAGATAAGAAACTTACTTGTATAATGGTCGCAGAAAGAATGGTTCTTGAAGGAGCCCGTCTTCTCACTGACTGGGCTATGGAGATTACTGAGGAGACAATCTCCGACACTTGGGCAGTAGTTGAACGACTCACAGTTGAATTCAAGGTTCATTATACATCTCTTAGCACATTCCTGAAACAGTACATACAGTACTTTTAAAAACTAACCTGACATTTAGCTATAGCTGGTCAACAGTTAACAAGAAGACAATTACTACTCAGCCCGCCATTTTAAATACAAACATTAGCAGATGACAAGATGATATTGTGATATTCCTAAAAAGCTGTATTGTCTTGTTTATTTAATGGCTTTGATATTATAGCTATTTTCATTACGTAACGTATTTTTATATTTCAAAATTTATTTGACACGAGTACTGACAATTCGACCATCTGCACCTGTATCGGAATTCCTTTTATAACTTTAAGTGGGTCAACAAACACCATCTGACTAACGTCTTTACCAAACTTTCCCATATAAACATCTAAAATAACAAAAAACGAAACAAACTCAACGCAGACAATACCTTATGAACATGCTTCATTTTACTTTCTTTGAATATTTGGTTTATATTCATATTCACGATTTTTTAATATATGCAAGTCTATTTTAAGTAATTGACTTTCTTTTATAATATAATGTTAGTAGGTCGCATCTTACTATGGACATCTGACCTAAGTATATTTCAAATAGTTTACATTACATTGTCCATGTGCTTTCAAAGAAGCATTTGGAATATCTTACCATTAACCAAGTGCCCTCGAACATCTGACCTAAGTATGTCTTTTCTGAGATCTGACGCGGTTAGTGTCATCTAAAACAAGAAATAATAATGGTTGAAGACATCATGACTCTAGTTGTAAATGCAATAGGCCCGGGAACATGAATATGTTTTACAGGAGACTCAGGAATACATATTTATATCAATAACGCATTGTCTTGACAATGATAGATCCATCATATCATCAAGGTACACTGTCTGGTTAAATCCTCATTATAACTGCCTTTTGTTATTTTCATCATTTTCAGCTGATTCATGATGCCATAGGAGCCAGGACTGATTTCTTAGATGTGGCATTTACTCACTTTGAGAACATTACAGTTAGATGGATGTCTTGGATAAAACTCTAAGCTAATAAGATTTTTTCAGAGTGGTAGCAAGTTCTTTTTAAGGGGTTGTTCCCCCATCCTAAGAATTCAAGCATTGCAGCATAATTTGATACATTTCTTCAATTTAAATATTATTCAAATCAAAAGAAAATCAACACAGATTATATCATACATTAAATATTACTGGCACATATGTGTTCACAAATTTTCCAAGGGTATACCTAAAATTTGTCAATCCTAAACATCACATTTAATGAATTTTTTATATTTGAACATGCCAGAAAACATAAACCTTCTTCAAACGTAGCTGAAATAATATTAAAGGTGCACGAATCAGTGCAGAGGCTAGAATGACTCATGAATGGTAGCAAATATTTCAGGAAGGCATACATAACATACAGCAAAATCTTGTCCGAGATCGGGAGCTATTATCACGGATAGAGGCAGATAAATTGGTATTCATTTGATTTGAAAACGACAACTCCACAGAGTAGCAAATCTCTAGGAAATCTAATAATAATTCATGAATCTGTACAGTCAACTTTGTATATTTACCATCTACTCTTCCCTTCATAAATATTTGTAGTAGCATATAACCATTTTGAATTTTGAATTTTCAGTGGCACAAATCAGAAAAAACAATACCATAATTGTGATCTACTCTGAAATTCCTTAATTAGAGTTTGACATGAAATATTTGTAAAAATAGTCATGTTATAGTGTGAGTAAGTATTAGGTTGTCATAGTTGCATCAAATTTGTCAGAAATTAAGAAATATTAAGGTGGATTCTTGGAAATTAAAAAATTGTCATCATTGATGGTATCACAATTGACAAGCTTGTCATGACACGAGTCACAAAGGAGAATCGTCACTGGTCACTTTGGCTGAGCGCGCGGCCATCAGATGTTTTGGATTATCTGTCTCAGATTCCCTTCCAGATGTTAATCCCTTGTATCACTCATACACCGTTGAGGTTGCCGTCATTGAACCCTCATATATATTCCTAAGGTATTTAATTGTGCCCACTGCAGAAATCTTTTGTTACAGTCTTGGACTGTTGTGCATTGCCTAAGTTGAAATTAATCTTTTACTGATGTCATCTTCACTTTTCAAGATGGCCACTCGGTCAAAATAGCCAGTAATTATTCTCATTTAGGACCCATAACATAACAGGTTTTTCAATTGTGATATATCATCAATGATGACAATTTCCAAGAGTCCGCTTTAATTTTTGTTTAATTTCTGACTTTGATGCAACTATGACAACCTAATACTTACCCACACTTCATCCAAAAACCGACTATTTTTAGAAATATATCATATATTATATAATCAGAATTACATATATATTTTGCGAGTTGTAACACTTGCTCCACCAACCTTACCCCTGGGTAACTATAGCAGCCATATTATTAAGTCTACTAACCTTCATGATATGAAACTTTTTCAATTCATTCACAACTAATTTGGACACATTCTGTCAAAAATTCAACTAGATTGAAAAGAAAACAACTAAAATACAGCTATGGAACACCCTGTATAGCCATAGTTTTAAAATATCGGAAAATAATTGCGAAATCCCACATTAGGCCGCCATCTTGTATTCTACGAGGCCCAAAACAGAAAAACGATACAATATTTTCAATCTACTCAAAGCCTTTCATTTGAGTATAATAAAGCTATACTTCAAAAACATCTCAAGATTAGAGCAAATTCCTGTGCAGAGTTCTTTTCAGTAGTATTTTGATGGGAAAACACCACTTATAATGTAACTTCCCAGTCTGTCTGATTTTTGGCCCTCATACCTGGTAAACACACTAAGTGGGTCAGTGGGCATTCCCACGAAGGTCAGAGATCAAGGTCATTATACAAGGTGAAAGGTCAATATCTAGGTATTTGGGCTTTCTAAGACACTTGGTGTATGCTTTGACCCATAATAAGGTGAGCTGAGGTAGAGGTCAAGGTCATTCCAAGGTCAAAGGAATCTATCTCGGTATTTGGCGTTGTAATGCATTTAGGGGCTCTTATGACCCTTGGCAACCTTGATTAGGAGATCTTAGATTACTATTGAACTCAAAATATACTTTTGTTTAAGCTTCTCATGTTATATATGTAATACATCTTAAACCTATAGCTCTCTCCAAAACGCAATATGTGAACATGAATTATTTTTCCATTCTCATACGACTGAAGAGATAATAAATGCTTAAATATAAATTTGACGTAGATATAAACGTTTTTAAGCGTAAAATCAAAGCATAACCATTAACTTAAAAAATAAATAAAAACGTTTCCGGGATTCGAATCCGTACCGTCAGAATGACAGGCGAGCACTCTGCCACTGTGTTACCCGGGTATTGGTTGTACATGAGTGTAATACAAGGGTATTTATTCAAACTTCTTTTTAGTAAGTCACGTGACATTCTAAATTTAGAAATCTTCGAAGAAATTTGTTTACCGGCTAACCTCTGAGCAATTGAATGAACAATCGTCAAACTAACATCTTCATCGTGAGTATTTCTTCACAGTATTTGCTCCATTTGTTCATTATTGTATATTTTCTCATTAAAGCACAAAATATTACCAGGGACTCTGGGAACAACCTAAGATTGCGTTTCGGAGAGAGGCCCGACTTTAACTACAGTATATTATTATTAAACTATACGTGTCATTAATGTCCAGCATATTTTATTTAGTTATACTTTTTCCATATACTACACATTTCGCTTACCTCATTTAAAATAACTTTCAGATTTCCAGCGAAAACGGCATTTGATATCTTCCGCCATGCTTCATTCCTGCTTATCAACCTTAACCCTATAGAAAATGGAGAAACAATTTTAAAAGCTGAAATTACGTTTAGTAGTGTAACTAGGTTCAAATAAATACCCTCATTTGCACCAAGGTTCAAATATACCGTTGAAAAGCTGAGAGTGCTTAAAGTATTAGACCTCTATTCGGCGATTGCAAAAATAAGATCATCCATAACTAATTAAATGTCAAATTACAGTTTGGAGAATATTTAAGAATTTGAACCCACATAGGCTGAGATAGGGGCCAACTATGCTACAAAATGAGCCAGGATTATTGTTTTTGGTTGAAATGAGATTTGATATTTGAAAATATTGTGCAATATGGGCATTTAGGAATTTAGAATACAAATTACTAATTTTCTTCTGAGAATGTAAGATTGCAGCAAGTGTGTATTGACAATATCACAGGCTGGTATCGAAAAATGTGTCTGCTGTGACGGAGCGTGCTATTTTGCATAGAAACATTAAGAAACTCACACAATTCATTTTTTTACCCATATGTTTGGCTATACCAAAGGAAATTTCTTACTCCATGCAATGGGTATATCATTTGCGGGTAACTTTAACTTTTGTTTGAAGTCAAACAACGCTAAGAGTAAAAGCTATTGAAAACGGCGCTGGGGTATCATACTCAAAAATGTACCATTTCTTTCATTTCTTTTTAATGGTACAATATAGTGACAAAATGATATTCACATATGTTTTCAGCATAACTCTGAAGGTATTAATGATATCTTGATGTATTGGGTATTTTTAATATTTTTTATTAAAAATAATGTTTACATTTTTTGTCAGCTGTGACGGAGCAGTTTTAACTGTGAACTACGTTAAGAATTTAAGATTCAAATTACATCTTTTTTTTTTTCAAATAAACATCAACGATGCATCGCTACAAACGGAAAAAGGAACTACTACTTGTGGATGGCTTCGTAGGAAAATTAAGTGAGTGTCCTTTACTGCGTCATCAGTAGGCGTCTCAGATCGTCACATTTCGCCCCTTAGCCTGTATGCATAATCTGAGTGGGGCAGCGATGGTAAGGTCTTAAACATCGCTCGCTGAAGGACACCACTTGTCATTCCTCTTGAGCCAGAGCCACCGTGAGCTGGACTCTGCCACAGCACCTACTGCCTTAACTGCCGACTTCAGCTTGGATGGTGTTAGTCCTAGCTGAGATAGAAGGTAGCGCAGCGAGGAGGCTGGGAACCCCCTACATCCCACTTCTATTGGGTACTGCACTACATGCCATCCCCTTGTTATGGCCTCGTCTACCGGATCTTGGTATTTGGCTTTCTTAAGCTGATTGGATATGTCCAGTCGGTCTTCCCAGGGTACTGTGAGCTCGATGATGATGATGCTCCTGCTGAGCTGAGATATCAGCAGCATGTCGGGACGGAGCTTGGTGACTACTATATCCTGTGGGAAGACAAGTTTTTTGAAGAGGTCAGTTCTTAAAGTCCAGTCTGTTGCCTTGGTGAGAATGTTGGGCTGGAGTACAGGCAGAGATGGCTTCTGATAGGCTTTGCTGCCTTCTTTGACAAACTTAATGAGTCTTGGTCTTACATTGCCCCTACTGGTGTTGTGGGAAAGTCTTTGCTGGTCTATCCACTTGGCTACCTCTTGGAGGACCCTGTCGTGTCGCCATCTATATCTTCCGTCACCTAGGGCTTTAGGGCAGCTGCTGAGAATATGGTTAAGTGTACAATCAGCAGCCAAAATCTTTTAAAAGTACCCTTAGAAAAGAGAACGCCAAAAATCACTTTCCTATGACAAGTATTCTCTGGGAGATCTGGGGTAATGTAAATCTGAGATATAAAAACGACCACTCTAAGCATTTTTCGGAGGTTTGTACTGAAATTAACATTAATCAACATGGTGTAAACACAACATAATATTTCTAATTCGTTTTCGACAAGACGTCTTGGAATGTCACGTGTAGTGTAAATAGGGCTAATATGGATTTACTCGAAATAGCGCACAGACATCCTGCATTCCGACAGATGTATAACCTTTTACCACATAATATTACTGTATATAAGATGATCCAAATACAGATTTAATATGTAATTATTTGAAATTCATTGTTTTGCATAGACTAAAATTATAAAAAAAGTCTTGGTAAACGTGCTGCACTGTAAAACCTGTATCAATGATTATTATGCACCTCATTTAAATACTCAAATCTCATTGGTTAAGAGCTGCAGGGTCTATTGCCATACGTGGCAGCAAGATCTCGTTCTATCCAGTATTGAAGCAACGAGATCTCCAACCATCCCGTATGCCAGAATACCTATCCTCGAAAAAGTTACTTTCGACGTGTAATTAATTGACAAAGGGTAGGTGGCGCTAGATAAGGCATCGGCCAAACTTATAATATATGGAGGGAATACTTAAGAATAAGGCCAAATGAAAGAATAAATGGAATTTTTGATTGTCGAACACCAGGGTTTTTATAGGCTCGGCTTCTGTTTTAGTAGACCCATTCTTTAAAATAGCCTAAAGTATTTCTCAAGGGAGGTGCATAATAAAATAAATACTGGATGACCATGAGGTGGATATGCCAGAATACCTATCCTCGAAAAGAAAAACTTAGCTCGGCTTCGCCTCGCCTAGTTTTTTTCCTCAGATACATGTAGGTATTCTGGCATATCCACCTCATGGTCATCCAGTATTTGTTTAATATCGTTCTCTAGTGAACACCTCTTCTTATCAAATATTCCTCTGACTTCTGTATGAAATTGCCTCTATACTGGCAACACATTTTGGGCTCCATATGTGTTCACTGTACACATGTTTTAATGTAGTTTCATCAGATAGCCATAACTCTTATTCAAATAAAGAACAATCTTAAAATCAAATTTTGCATTTTCGTATTTCAAGATACACTCCACTTACTTTTTGGAACGACTAAAGAGGGTAGAACAATCATACCATTATATGTATTTAGCTTCATCTTCAGCAAATAATTTTACTTCAAATAATCAAGTTACCGTAAAAAATGACCATGTCAGGTGATGGATCCACAGTTGTCACTACGAAAGGCAAATACCCTATACTGAAATCAAATTGAGAATCATTTTCATGAGTTACCATGCATAAGTTGAATTGCAGTACAAACTGAGAAAAGAAGCTTAAAGAGTGGTCGTATATACATCTCAGAATTTGAACTGTGTACTTTTATTACGTTTTATTTTTCAGAATACTTTACGAAAAAGATTTGACACGCTCGCTCCTCTAAAGTGTAGTTGTAAAGAGATATATTATAAATCTAAATTCTTAACGTATTTAAGATTTGAAACTGCTCCGTCACAGCTGACAAAAAAATTTAAACATTATTTTTTATAAAAGAAATTAAAAATACCCAGTACATAAAGATAGCATTAATACCTTTAGAGTTATGCTGAAAACATACACTCCCCTCCATAAGTTTGGCAACCTTTTTTCCCCAATTGAACTACGTGTTAAAGCCTCTTTATCTTTGAATTTTTATTTACTTAACCTGCGATGAAAATACTTATACTATTGATGGAAACGTTATTTCACTTTAATTCCAATACCTCCAAATTTTCTCAATTTTTTTCCTCAATTACAGTAGGTCGAAAATTGATGATGAATTTTTGAAAATCGACATTCCCATGTTAACCAATGAGAAATGGTAGGTTTGCCGCAAGTCATATGACAGAATATCCATCCATTCGAGTCCTTGCAAAAAATACGAGTTAGGCAGGTAATTGAATTTGCTAACTTTATTTAACAAAAAATTGATATGTTTCTTCAGGTTCAACAAAGTTATTGGGCTTTAAAGTCAAAATTGTTTTTCAAAAAACCTCTCCCATTGAAATAACACAGGAGGCGAAAAATTCTTTTCAAAAATGACTTTGAAGCGCTGTAACTTTAATATTCATCAAATAAACTAAACACTTAGTGTTCAAAAAAGTCAGACAATTCAATTTTCTATATGAAAATATTTTTTGCTGAATCTTTTACTGAAAAGATATTCTGATTTCTGATTTGCCCCGAACCCCCCATTTCCCATTGGATTACATGGGAATGACGATTTTCAAAAATTCATCAAATTTATCATCAATTTTCGACCTATTGTAATTGAGGAAAAAAATTTAGAAAATTTGGAGGTATTGGAAATAAAGTCAAGTTACGTATCCATCAATATAATAAGTTATATCATCGCCGGTTAAGTAAATAAAAATTCAAACGTAAACAGGCTTTACCACGTAGTTCAATGGAGAAAAAAGGTTGCCACACTTATGGAGGGGAGTGTATGTTAATATTATCGTGTCGTTATATTGTACCATTAAAAAGAAATAAAAGAAATGGTACATTTTGGAGTATGATACTCCGACGCCGTTTTCAATTGCTTTTACTTTTAGCATTGTTGGACTTCAAACAGAAGTTAAAGTTACCCGCAAATGATATATTCATTGCATTGAGTCAGTAATTTTCTTTGATGTAGCAAAACATATGAGTAAACAATAAATTGTGTGGTCTTCCTAGTGTTTCTATGCAAAATAGCACGCTCCGTCACAGAGGACAAATTTTTCGATACCAGCCTGTGAATATGCACCTTTGGTTAAACGTTAAACATAGGGTATCATCATTTCCCTGTTGACGTTTTATCTGTTTAAATACGGCCTTATAAGTGTAACCTATTTCCAATCAATGCTAAAATTGATTCAAAAGGAGGACATAATCCAAATTAATGGTATAGGTGTTCACTAAATTTGGCGTTTCAGAAGCTGAAAAGGTACAGTAAAAAGAAAGTTACCATATTGTAGGTCATTCAAAACTCTCGAGGGGGGTGTATTAAAATCTCAAAAAAGTAGGTCAAATAGGGTCAAAAGTAGGTCAAAGTGACATAGGGGTGATATTTTTTGCTGAATCTTTTACTGAAAAGATATCCTGATTTCTGATTTGCCCCGAACCCTCCATTTCCCATTGGATTAGATGGGAATGACGATTTTCAAAAATTCATCAAATTTATCATTAATTTTCTACCTATTGTAATTGAGGAAAAAAATTGAGAAAATTTGGAGGTATTTAAAATAAAGTCAAGTTACGTTTCCATCAATATAATAAGTTATATCATCGCCGGTTAAGTAAATAAAAATTCAAACGTAAAGAGGCTTTAACACGTAGTTCAATGGAGAAAAAAGGTTGCCAAACTTATGGAGGGGAGTGTATGTTAATATTATCGTGTCGTTATATTGTACCATTAAAAAGAAATAAAAGAAATGGTACATTTTGGAGTATGATACTCCGACGCCGTTTTCAATCGCTTTTACTCTTAGCATTGTTGGACTTCAAACAGAAGTTAAAGTTACCCGCAAATGATATATTCATTGCATTGAGTCAGTAATTTTCTTTGATGTAGCAAAACATATGAGTAAACAATAAATTGTGTGGTCTTCCTAGTGTTTCTATGCAAAATAGCACGCTCCGTCACAGCGGACAAATTTTTCGATACCAGCCTGTGAATATGCACCTTTGGTTAAACGTTAAACATAGGGTATCATCATTTCCCTGTTGACCTTTTATCTGTTTAAATACGGCCTTATAAGTGTAACCTATTTCCAATCAATGCTAAAATTGATTCAAAAGGAGGACATAATCCAAATTAATGGTATAGGTGTTCACTAAATTTGGCGTTTCAGAAGCTGAAAAGGTACAGTAAAAAGAAAGTTACCATATTGTAGGTCATTCAAAACTCTCGAGGGGGGTGTATTAAAATCTCAAAAAAGTAGGTCAAATAGGGTCAATAGTAGGTCAAAGTGACATAGGGGTGAGCTTTTAGAATCACATGTTTGGCTCTATATTTACTGATTTATGAAAAATATTTTAAAATAAATAAAGCCACCCGAGATGACAGAAATTTTTTCTCAAAAACTAGAGCTTCAAATACAATTTACTCTTAGTCTAATCCACTTGTTTTTCTAATCGTGTAATAATTTGATGCATATATATTCTCAAGTTTGTAAATTAGATGCATATTAAGATGGAAAAATGACTAAAAATAGCCGCGAAATGGAAAAATCTTTTCTCCAAAACTAATAAGGATATGATGATTTTGTTTTGCAGCCATCTGACAAACATGTTCAGGACCTCCCAGAAACAAATTCATGGACATATGATCACGAGAATTTGAAAAAAACATTTTTACTCAAATTATTTGGATTTAGATCGAAATGCGAGTCGCGGACTACAATATAATTTGTTCAGAGTTAATAGAAGGCATGAATGTCAAATTATACATTTAAAATCGTTTTATTTTACTCCAATGTAGAATTCCATCTCAAGCATTATTTCAAATTATTTCAAATATGGAGTGATTCAAATAAATAGTTTCTTAGCCATAAAGGTCAACATAGGCATTCTGAAATCTGTAACAATACATTTTCACATACAACGACCGCCCCTCTCTCAAAAAATAAACTGAGAAGAAAAGCAGAGTCACATAATTGACACTAGATACAAAGATACTAGAGAGCGACACAAATACTATATCTAGTATATTCGTTATGCAATTAAGGTACCCCTGTTTTTTATGAAAAGGAAATGGAAAATAAAATGATTGGGTGAAAGGGTTAATATCTAATTTTGCGTTGACTGAAAATAAGAATAAAATAAAATAAATAAGATTCTTAAAACTGACACTCACAGCTTTCGAACTGTATATTCAAACGTTAGTTGCCAATATTAAACCTAACAAAGCTCGGTCACATAGTACAGATGCATATAATATGCCATATACCCCGGCATCATGATATAACGTGAAAATAAATAATGTCTAATACCCCCTCTCTCCTCAGAACCAGAACACCAAAAATAAGGTACATGTAGTTACATACGGGACTGATGGAAGCCAAGTATTACTGTAAATTCACAATGTGATACCGTCGGTTTTTGATCTTTGTAGTAAAATGACTCAAAAGGAAAATGTTGAATCACTCACTGGTTGATGGTGGACTAGGAAGCAATGTTGAAGTGAGGTAGATTTTACGATCTGAAGCTTCTACCTATAATATAAATTAACATTATAAGTTATTGAATGATTTAAAGTTCAATACAAGATATATTCTGCTCGACGGCGACGACGACGACGACGACGACGACGACGAAAATCAAATGCTTATTTTGCAATTTCACTTTCTGCAATCATTCTGTGTGAAATATTTGAATAGAAAGGAGCAGATAATCAAAACAGATCTTTGATCATTGCAGCAGATGCACTCAATCTTTTCATTAAAATTATGTCAGTAAAGGTGTTACCCTAGATGTCGTTTGCGAGAATCTAAGAAGTGGGATCCCTGTAGCATTATGGATTGCTTCAACGACAGCGTCTGTGACATCATCTATGTATAATAATTCCTCGAATGATGCATCTGTGGTAGCGTTATCTATAACATGAAGGATGCAAGCACTGAGGTCGATATACATTATTATAATTGACTGTGTAATATGTATACCGCAAAGCCTGAAAGTAAAATAAGACACAGAGTGAACAAAATCGCACCCCTTCAGGACAGAAAATCCAAAATGGCTGCCCTAACACTTTCCTAGAATGTTCAAAGACTACTCAGTTCTAAACGTTCATACGTAGAAACATACCTAAACATTTAGATGAATCCATGAAATGGTTTGGTTGTAGACACATCTTGTCTGGCAGGATTTAAGGACGGAAATTAAAAATGGCCGCCTTAATATTCAGAATGCCCAAAAACTAATAAGTTCTAAACGTTCATACATGTACGTAGAAACATACCTGACAATTTCAGATAAATCCCTCAAATGGTTTGGCTGGAAACCTGTAGATAAATCTGGACTGATAGGATTTTAGGACGGAAAATCCACAATGGCCGTCTTAATACCCAGAATACCCAAAAACGAATAAGTTCTTAACTTTCATATATGTAGTAGAAACATCCCTGAAATTTCAGATGAGTCCCTCAAATAGTTTGGCTGGAAACCTGTAGACAAGTCTAAACAGGCATGATTATAGGACGCAAAATCCAATATGACCCCCTCAACATTTACTAAGAATGCCCCAACCCTAATCAGTTATTAATTTTTGTAAGCAAAAATATCCCTGAAAATTTAAGATGAACCCTTTAAACGATTTGGCTGGAAACCTGTTGATAAACTAGCTCGACAGACAGAATTTTATATGTTGCAGCGGCTGCAGGAGTTTAGTGTATGTGTTATGTACAAAAACGTTCAAAGTGTACTCTATGTACTGTACATAATTCAATACTACCTGCTAAAAATATTATTTGGAAATCTGTTTTATTGTCATTGTTGGCATCATCACTTTGGTAACACTTTGCTAGGTCAAAATTGCTAAGGGCAGGTCTGTTTCCATCGTGATTCCAATAATTCGTTTCTATACTCCAAGTCTGAAATACACAGTTGGGTGGTTACCAACATGATCACAAGGCACTACTGACATGGGAGAAAAAATTAGTAAAATGGATAATGAAAACCGATTCTAAGCCTTTTGGGATATAGGACTGATTTTTAAAGCATCTGAGCATATTTAACGAGATTAATTTTAATATGTTTGATATGCGCGAGAGATAATATTTAAATAAACTATAATTCTCGACAGGACACAGAGTATACATTCATGATTCTGTATATATACGAATAGTAGACATGCATATGTTAAATTATATTGTAGTACATGGACGAGGCATTATGACTTACCCCATCTGGGGCAGCTGTTACCAATTTTAGTGGTTGTTGATATGTAGAATTTTCAAAGTGTGTCTTGGAAAACGTCCAATCATTCTATAACAGCAAGGACGTTAATGAAAATACATACAGAATACCCTCCCAAATGATGCAAGATGGCAAAAATCCCACGGCTGTGAAGGCCCAAGTATTCTTGGCTACCCATCTATTCTGATTCTTGCCGAAGTATACTGACCTGACCCAAGTATTCTGGGTTTACTTATTTTTTCGAATACACTCGATAGATGTCCGCGTTAGTTTTTTAATCATTTGTCGATGGATTCCACGTATATTCAAAAGATGGCTCCTGAAATTAATTTGGAAACCACTCATGTTTTTATAAATGATATACATGACTACCTCCGGTCAGTATGTAAAATGTACTATCATTGATTTAAGAAAAATTACAAGGGCGGAGGACCCAATTTTTGAATATGCGTTGCGTGTTGTATCAAACATAAGGTAAAACGCAATGGCCGATCTGGCGGAAGACAGGCGCCCGCCCCTCCTCCTTTGGAGGGCCCCAAAAAGTGAGGGCCAAAAAACGTATAGGGCAAAAAATCGTCTTCTCTCCACATAAATTGAGCAATTAAGGTAACAACTCGGCATTACTGGGCATGATTTATTTTAATTTTGAGCCCGTTTTCATAAACTGGGCTTACATTTTCAAATTTAGGACCCCCTACTCTTGATTTTCAGATCCGCCCCTGGAATGTTAGAATTTTTACAGCCACTGTATATCTTCAGTTCGTTTTTTACTTTTTATGTAAATTTGGACAAAAGGATCTAGTGCACTCTCCATTATGATTTCCCCATGTACAAAATGAATCATTTTTAGGTGTAACATAAAGAATACAATGTCACATAATACTTTGGCAAGTATCTAAGCATTTGGACCCACATGGGCTGAGGTTGAGGTCATTGAGTTCAGCAAGGGTGTATTGACTTGACAGTCGGTGTGTTCCATTGACTAAACATGTGGATATCATCAGATTCCAATGGAAGCCATTGGTTTCTATTGATTTTCACAAATATACCGAAAATACACTATTATTATTATCATATGACCTGAAGCGATTGCAAATTAAATAATTTCACAATATGACATAACTGGATCAGATGTGCAAATATAAAGTATGCAATCGATTCAGGTCATACTTAAAATTGAAAGATTATACATTTTTTCATCATTTTTTCCTACAAAGTGGCTATAGAAAAATGCTTCAAAAGCAACTTTTACACTTATGAAATGCCATACAACTTTGTTACCAAAGATTATACTGTTAAGTTTCATTAATTAAATGGATTTTGACAAACACAAAAATACTTCCTGGTTTGGCATCTCTACCCCTGTACACTTTATGATTGAATATTGGCCCTAATAAGTGGCCCATTCATCAATACAGTGCTGAATATAGGTCAACAAGATACTAGTGTACATATAATTTAATAATAAAAGCAGTATATTCATTTTGAAAAATCAGATGAATTTATTTTTGTACATGGGGAGATCATAATGGAGGGCGCACTAGATCCTTTATTCGTGTAAAAAAACATGAGTGTATTCCTGAAAACAAAAATCCAATAGTAATAAAATGATTTAATTTCCTCGTCATTATTTTATGACATCTTTGCTAGTGACAGTGACAGCAACATATTTTCACAACGGGAAACACTATTTTGTAAGCACTACTAAGAAAGAATACTTTATGTGTTATCCATAAGTAATAACCACGACTAACTACTAATTCTCAGGAATAAAAAGTTCACTCTATTGAGAGATAGATAGAGTTTATCCTTGGACCAGTTACGTCTTATCCGTGTGTCATATGACTACTGTGTTAATTAACTAAGTAAAGTATTCCAATTAAAAAGTGTTTAATTGTATGTTTGCATGCAGCAAGCGTTTAATAATTCTTCGCATATATAATATTGTCCATAAAAGAGTCTGATATATAATATTGTCCATAAAAGATCGGTCTGATAATTACAAGTAACTCATGTTTATTTTAAAACTATTCTTTACGAATTTATGATAAGTGTATAATGTTCAATGCTCGCCAGATATGGGGGTAACCAAGATGTATTTAAATACATACAAATCGCAGTCAGTGATTGTTCTCCACACTCACCCCTCCCCCTTCCTGACATGAACTATTTTGTAAAACCATTGACAGTGTGGAAAGGATTCTTACACTCGAGTGTCAAGGGGGGGGAGGGGGCAGTTATAAAAATTTTCAAAACTGCTCAACATGGTGAAAACTTCACGTTTTTAAAGAATGCTTGCCCGGCGAGTGGTTTGCTCTGGATTGCGAGAGAACAAAAACTTTGAATTAGGATTTTTCCTAATACTATCATTAATCTAAACAACTTTTTAAACCGTCTCTGATTACATATCATGCCAATTAATACCATTATTGTGTTGACAGGATTAAATATGATATCTATGGAATTATAATTTAATGAACTCAATAGTCTAAATGATAATAAGTTCATAATTTAGTCTTGGCTGACTAGTCTTGCATCATCAGAGTTGGATTGCAAATACCTCCCTAAATCAAATAATTTAAATTTACAAATTTACTAGTGTACGGGGTGGGGAAACAAGTCTCCATCCATCCACTAAAGTTTAAAAGGAAGACTATAGTGTCCCGTGAATTCATTATAATTATCTTAAACAGGATCTTAAGAGGTTCTGGACAAATCATTTGATTCTGGACTTGTCATATTTTTTTTTCAACGAAATCACATCCAAGGGTTGAATTTTTATTAGCTATTTAGAGAGTGAGTCCTGCCTAGTATTAATTTCAATAAAAAAGTTAAAATAGAACCCTGTTTGAGAGTCAATCTAATACTTACATTACATTGATAAATTAAGGCAAATCCTGAAATATTTTTAAAGTGCATTTTTTATGAAATATTATCCAGCAAGTATTTAAATGAAACGGTCTTATTTAAATACAAATCATAACATGATATTTTTCATGAAACATTTTTCAATGAAATTCACTTGAAGGGTCAAGATAAAACGAGCTAATTTAGGTGAAAACCCTTACATGATGATGTGTTTTCATAACTTCTTTCATAAAATTCCATCAAGGGGTGAAGATAAAATGATCGAATTTAAGTGATTTAAGGATCACGAGAATATGTTTTCTTTGATATTTTCTATGAAATCCCATCCAATGGTCAAGGTAAAATTTTGATTTTGATTTTGATTTGGTCACGTGTTCGAAAGACATATAAGGCCCATAGAACCATATAGGAACGTCATTTTGAATGTCATGTGATAGATCCATATAAGGCTTTTAGAACCATTTATGGAAAGATGAGGGGAAACCCCTGACACCTGTTTCACGATTTTTATGCACTTCATTATTGTACCGAAGTTTGCCGATTCGATTCGTCCTATTTCGGAATCCTGGTGACAATTTTATACTCCATTGGAGTATTTTTGACCTACTTCTTATGACGGAAATTCCCGAACCTTGTTCGGATTAATCCGGATTTTCTGACCTACCTTATCTATCGAGATTTCACGAGTTAACATTCGTCTCATTCCGGAATCCTGGTGACAATTTCATACTCCATTGGAGTATTTTTGATCTACTTTTTCTGGATTTTGCCCTACTTATTATATCTTGACAACAAGCAAATCAAAAAGTTCGACATGAACGGGTCTCGATCAACTAACCTAGACAATGGAAGCCAGGCACGCTAACCATGAGGCCAACGAGCTACCGATATGAAAGAACAAAAGTATATTATATTTATACCGAGCGTCAATTCAAAATGATCCTCACTTAAATACGACTCGTCAGTTGTATCCAGAATAGTAGAACGCCTATGGCGCTAGTGAATAACCAAGTCCCAGGTGAGTGGTTCGTATCCCTCCGTGATATACTATTTTTGTTTTATTAAATACGACAGAAAGGAGCAAGGTGTAGGTTGAAAACAAGACGTTAGTTTGTTTCAAAACAGTTTGGAAACATTAATCTCTGGAACATTATTTTTTCAACACTGATACAAATTTCCCTGACATTTCCCTGACATGTCTACCGTTTCAAAATTCCCGGTCATCTTTGGCACTTTTGACCTAATTTTAAAATTACCTGACATTTCCAGCACTTGGAAAATCAAGTCAATTTCCCTGACATTTCCAGGTGTGTACGAACCCTGGAAATATCCCACTGGCTCGCCCTATGAATCGCTAGCACAGATTGGATTGATTAGTGTTTCAAAATGGTGGACGAAGTGTTTGATTAGATAATTTACATATTAAGCTTCTTAAAGGGGCAACAAGGCCTGTACATAGAAAATTCGAAATTTTTTACATTTTCTGAATTTTTAGGGCAACATTTTGCTTTAACATCTTTTTTATACATTTTTTCTTAAAATGTATGGATAAACAATAAAATTTCAGCATTAAGCAGTGCAAATTCAGTTCAAAGCTTCTATAAAGGGAGTCCAACTTATAGATTTTGAAAATCCGAAGAATATCAGCAGCTTAAATCACGCCTTGTGATCATACAAAATGGATGGAGGGGGGGGGGGGGGGGGGGTAGGCGATTTCTGGAAGAAAACTCAACAAATTTGGAAGATTTATTTTTTTCAAGATAAAATTTACAACTGTAAGGTCTTCTAGTATTCTTTGAACTGATACGCTTCTAAGATATGAGATCTATTATAAAAGGCGCATCATCATCATCATCATCAACGTGCAAAAGTCAATGTTTTTGCTATAAATCAGGCAACAATGGTCTACACGACCTGTAATAAATAGGTATGAGGGGCGTTATTAGAGAATTTTCGTTATAAGTTTTTTAAAAACTTATACGTATACTTATACTTATAAACCCAATAAACAAGGTGTTTCATAATTTCCTAATTCGTCGGGAAATATCTCCTAGGACGGTAATAAAAAGGGCCAATGGCATACCATCCGTACCCCCTTGATGTAAAACATGTTTAGTTGTGTCATATGTGTTTTCTAGAATCAAATAGGCTGATATATATAGCACACGGGTTTTACAGATTTATCTACTCTCAAATATATT